AGCGGGGAGCGAGGGGAGGACGCAGTTGGGGGCTCGAGGAGATGGAAAGGTTTGGAACAGCTGCTGTGGGGAAGGCGACTGGGAATCCGCAGGAGCCAAATACCAGACAGCCGGGCTGAGGCTGGAGGGCGCAGAGGGCACTGCAGTGTTTGGAGAACCCACTCTGCAGTGTTCAGGGAGCCCTCCACCTACTTCCTGCAGCTTGGAGTCAGAAGCAGGAAGCAGGCAGTGGCATGACCCAGGGTTGAGATGGAGCCAGATGAACAAGAGATGGTGGTTGAGGGTGGCCTTGTAGAAATGAATGGTTAAGGGAGCAGACCGGGTGGGGAGGCGAGCCAGAAAGTTTCGATGCTTCGATGCGTAAGATGCAGGGGGTGGGCTGGGAAGCAGAGGAGCCTTTCTGATCGGCTCATTCGGTTGGTGTGAATGGGGAAGGAGGGCGGAAGGTAATCATTGGGAGGTCAAGCCTAGGATCATGGCGTAAGATGAGCTTGACCAGTGAGTGGCAATTTCGAAGTGTTCCGTGGTGGAAGGTACCTGAGCTGGAAGCACGTTTGGAGCCACTGAAGTTGAGAGCTAGAGGGCCGAGGGCCACGGGTGTTGAAGCTGTGGCAGGCAGAGAGGAAACTGTGGCTGGACTGAGTGTGTCTTGAAGGGTTGTGCATACCCGCGGGGAGCTGATGTCCATGAATGGTTCCTACTTCCAGAGAGCGGGACAGGCGTCTAAGTGGTACCAGAGAGCAAGGGCCCTTCCTCTGTCCCCAAGACGCCAGGAAGGGAAGATTGGGAGAGGGAGGGGTGGAGCTCACATTGTGGGAAGGGGCTTACAGGGGACGCTCTATGTGGAAAACGCCTGGAGCTCTGGATGCACACGGGTGTGAGCACGATGGAGCCGGGGCCGGGGGGAAGGTGGCTGTGGGAGGAGGTAGCTCGGAGGCTTTGGGGTTCCAGTGTTACAGGAACCGAGGCATTATTGGCAGGCGGCAGGTAGGACATTCCATTCTGCGGGGGCCGCAGTCCTGGGAAACCAGCCCCATGTTTCTGTGGGAGCCTCGTGGAAGCACTGGTAGCCCCTGCGGCAGCTCCCCCTGGGACTGCTCGGGGTTCCTGGCAGTGCCCCCCGCCCCCAGTCCGCAGCTCTCCCAGGACCCTCTTAATAGAAAGGGGAGGCGGGTGGAGGGAATGGTCCTTCTCTGAGGCCTGCTGGGGAGGCCGCTTGGGGAGCTGTGGGCTGGGCTCCCAACGACAGCCCTGGGGGTTTAACCTGTGATTCCCGCCTGTGTTGTATCCGCACGCTGACAGGGGCCGCTCAGAGCAGGCGGGCCGGGTAGGTGTGTGTGCACACGGGTGCACACGCCATCACGTGCCGACCTCTTCCGTGGGGGGCCATGTCTGCGCATGCTCTGTGGAGTTGACGCGTGGCCGGGTGTGTTGGCTGCTTCGGTGACCTCAGCTGCTGTGTGTGTGGCCTCTGTCCGCTCAGTTGTTCTGGCCTGTCCGTGACTGCCCGGGTGGTGGGGGGTGGGGGGTGGGCAAAGTGGGTGGAAGGTTCATCCCCTTCCCCTTATTTGCGTGGTGCTGGGGGTCAGGGAGGGAGAAGGAGGAGCTTTCAGAGTCCAACGTGAGCGTCTGGGAAATGCGCGGGGAGTCAGTCCTCATTGGAAGAAAGTGGCCAAGCTGGCTGGGGAGAGTTCTTGGAGGAAGATGACTCCAGAGAGGATGAAGAGAGTGTTGGGGTTTCAGGTCCGCTCCCCTGGGGCCCCGGGACCTCTGACTCTGAAGGAGGTGGAGGAGCTGGAGCAGCTGACCCAGCAGCTGATGCAGGACATGGAGCACCCTCAGAGGCAGAACGTGGCTGTCAACGGTGAGCTCACGGCCTCCCTCGGGGCCTCCCGCCGCTGCCCCGCAGGCTCCTGGGCTCCGCCTCCCGCTGCCAGAGCCTCCAATCCCTTGCCCCGCTCCTTCCTCCTATTGACTTCTGTTTTCTCTGGCCTCTCCAGAGTCCTGTGGCCGGTGTCATCAGCCCCTGGCACGCACGCAGCCTGCAGTTCGGGCTCTGGGGCAGTTGTTCCACATCACCTGCTTTACCTGCCACCAGTGTGAGCAGCAGCTGCAGGGACAGCAGTTCTACAGCCTGGAGGGGGCGCCCTACTGTGAGGGCTGCTATACCGTGAGTCAGGGCTGGGCCGAGGGGCACGCCGCCGCGGGGCTCAGTCAAGGGCCGGGTGGGGACTTGGGGCCGACGCACCTCGGCAGCTGCCTTTTGGGTGCCAGTTCCTTGCCGATGTCCTGCTGCTACCTCCTTAGGACACCCTGGAGAAGTGCAACACCTGCGGGCAGCCCATCACTGACCGCATGCTGAGGGCCACCGGCAAAGCCTACCACCCGCAGTGCTTCACCTGTGTGGTCTGCTCCTGCCCGCTGGAGGGCACCTCCTTCATTGTGGATCAGGCCAACCGGCCCCACTGTGTACCTGACTACCACAAGTGAGGACCCACCTCCTGTCTTCTGGGCTCTTCTCTGGCTGCCAGCCACGGTCGTCTGGGAGCTGGGTTGCCTCCTGATTCTGAGACAGCCCCCAGCCCCTGGCCTTCGTTTCTGGCCCCACATCCTGTGTGTAGACAGCAGAGACCAGTTCATCTGGATTTAGCTGTCCAGTGGCCTCAGACCTTGGTAGCAAGTCTTGGCTGCTGGCAAGTGCCCTCTGGCCTTTGGCTCGCTGAGGCTTCTCGTGGGTGCGGTCTTGCGTTCAACAATGTGTGCTGGAATGACTTCATTTCACACGGGCTGGGTTCTAAAAGTTCTTTCGGAAACCACCTTTTTGGGACTCTGGTTTTTCCCTAGAAACAGTGTTTACAAGGTGGTTACTTTCTGAGGCCAGTGGCAGAATCCCATAGCTCAAGGGTGGTGCAGGGAAGCTGCAGAATCCGACTCCCACCTCTGACGGTGTGTCTGAGGTGTGTGTTAAGAATTCCACCTTAGGCGTCCAGAACTTCACATCCCTCCCTCCATACACCCCAGTGGTCTGGCAGAGAGACACCTGCGTGGCCGAAGGCTAGGGTCAAGGGTCCAGGGATGGGGGCTGGAGAAGGATGCCTCTGACTGCAGTGTGGATGACAGACGGAGTCAAGACCCAGTGGCAGAGTTTCCTGGAGTGGGTGAGGGGAAAGGTGGGAAACCCCCTTGACAAGGGCCAGATAAGGTGGCTCGTCTCAGGACTTTGTGTGGCGCAAAATGGGCTAAGTCTGCCCTGTTGCCACGTAACCGCCGTCTCCCTCCCCTGCGCTTTCACGGGCAGCCCTGGGTACCCCTTGCCCCGTGCTGACTCCTGCCCCGCTCTCGGCCCCTCCAGGCAGTACGCCCCCAGGTGCTCGGTCTGCGAAGGGCCCATCATGCCTGAGCCTGGCCGCGAGGAGACCGTGCGAGTGGTCGCTCTGGATAAGAACTTCCACATGAAGTGCTACAAGTGTGAGGTTGGCCGGCCCCCAGGGCTGGGAGGTGGTGGGACACTGCTCGCTACCAGGTGGTTGGTGGGCAGTGCCAGCCTGGAGGTTGCAGTTGCAGTTTTGACGGGGCGCGGTGCCCACACCTGCCACCCAGATGCTCCCGTCACTGCCCACGACGCAGGGAGGGGTTTCTGTGGGGTTTCACTGAGCTTCTGCTGTATTTCAGATAAACCAAGAAAGGGGGTGGCCAGTGGGAGGAAAGGATGTGGGGCTTCGCTATTTTGGGGAGGGGGGATGTGCTTGGTGAGGCTAAAGGAGGAAGTGAGGGGAGTTGAGGCAGGTGGGAGAGGCCCCACATCTTTTATTGGGTGGAGGCCTTGGGAACAGCTCTTCCCACTGCTCGCCTTGGGCAGGAGAGGCCTAGGGACAAGAGTGAAAATGGGCAGTAGAAGAAGTGAGGATAGGGCTTAGGGGTTGGCGTGACTGGGGACACAGGCAGTGACGCTGGGCATCAGCCAAGGCATGGGGCATTTGGTCTTCCTAATTTAAAGGCGGAGGTGTCGGCGGGGGGCGGTGCACCGGGGCCTTCCCAACAGCGGACTCTTCCTTCCAGGACTGCGGGAAGCCACTGTCCATTGAGGCGGATGACAACGGCTGCTTTCCCCTGGATGGCCACGTGCTCTGCCGGAAGTGCCACACTGCCAGAGCCCAGACCTGAGTGGGCACCGGCGAGTCCGTTCCTTCCCCATTAGAGGACCATCCACACTGAGACCACCCTGCCCTCCACCTGCCCTGCCCCCCTTCAGTTATCTTCTGATGTTCAGCCTCTCCTTCCACACCAGCCCCTGCCCCATATCCCAGGTGTCCTGTGCAAAGCCCCGACATGGCCTAGGGCTGCAGCGTCCCAGCTCTGGGTTTCCAGTCCACCCCCGTCCTGTAGGGACCACCCCCCCCCCCCCCCCCCCCCCACCAAGGTGTGCCCCACCTGAGGGGGCACCAGGTTGAGCGCTGCTGCTTTCACTGCTGCACCGATGCCCTTGGCTGGTCCCCTAGCAGCCGTGCATTCTGCTTGCTGAGGGCCTGGAGACCCCCTGACTCGGGGAGGCTGGGCTGGGCTGGGCTGGTTGACTGGCCTGGACACCCCCACCCACCCCCATGCTGCCAGGTTGTGGCTACAGCTACAGATAAAAAAAAAAAAAACCTGTTTTCCAGAATTCTCAGGAATCTTTCTTGTGTGTACAGCCCTCACAGGTGGGATGGAGGAGATACAGGGATAAAAAAGCCCGGGGTAAAGGTGAAAACTCTGTTCCTGTTTATTTACAAAAATATATATGTATATGTATATATATTAAACCCTCCCCCAATTACCTTTTCACTTCTACCCCCACCTCCCTTTTTAAAACAAAGGCTCCTGGGTCCAGAGGTGAGTTCCTCAGGCAAGGGTGGGCAGGAGCAGCACCGAAAGCCTACATCTTGTAGGATGAGGGGAGGGCCATGGGGAGCGACCATGGCCCCATCCTTGCTCTTTGAGGCCAGGGTAGGTGCAGGAGGGGCTCAGTCCTTGAATCCCTGAATACTGCAAAGGATGCGCTTCTGGTGTCCCGGCAGCGTGATTCCCATCTGTGCCAGGTCCCTGTGGGCGACGAAAGGGGACTGTGAGTCTGGGCTCAACCCCCCACAGCCCTCCCTGCCTGGGGCCCCCTCTCCCCCCAAGGGTTCTCACTCGGCCGTCAGCTCCAACACACACTCCATGGTGTCCAGCCCAGCCGAGCGGAAGTGCAGAATGTAGCGTTTCATTCGTATGGATTCCAGCCACTCAGGGACGCTTCGATAGGGGATCCCATCGGAGCCACTCAAGCTGGGAAGGCGGAGCGTCACCCTGTGGGACAAGGGGTCCCTCGGTTGCACGAGATGTGCAGGGGCTGTCCGCAACTTCCTGCCCCAGCTTTTCTGAGATCGGGGCTCAGCCTCTGAGCATCTGCAGCCAGCATTCAAGTTGGGTGTCTGAGCACAGAGATTATCTGGACTTTGTGGATTAGCCTGGCCATTGTCTGCGAACTCATTTCCTGGCCCAAGTCCTGGTGTGCTCACGGCAACAGGCAGGCTGACGGTCCTGTGGCACTGATGGACTCAGGGGAGGTGACAGCCCTGGAAGCCCCCAACAGAAGCATGCCATCAGCCCATCTCCCACGGGAGTGGCCAGTCCTGAGTAACTGGTGGCTGGTTAAGACTCAAGCGTCAACCACCGCAGTTGAGAGGAAGCAGACGGCAGGAGAGCGGAGGCTTTAGAAGCTAGGCGTGGTCCTGCCATTTTCGGGGCGGCCCCCTGAATTCTGGGAGCAGCCACGGCTTGCCCCCTCCACCTCGGCTGTTATTCTTGCACTCCGACACCCTCAAAGACAATGAGTGTTGCTGTGCTAAAGCCAGCCAGAGCCAAAACCATTAGCAAAGTAAATCTGCTGGGGGAAAAATATTCAACATTCCAGAAAGATTAGCACACGCAGTCTCCAGTATACGAGGGAGTTGTTGCTCCAAAAGATAGTTTCAAAAGCTGGAGCTTGGAGCATATTTTCTCCCAGAAACAAGGTTATATATGGTGGTGTGATATGGAGGCCAGCATGCCAGGGCTGGTTCGCCCGATCCAGCATTCAGAGTCCAGCCGTGCCCATCTCCCCCACCTCACTCCTGCCACCAGTTCATTCTCCACATGCTGGCAATGTTTCTGGTAAAACACAATGCTGACCATGTCCCTCCGACTTACAAGCTGGTCAGTGGTTCTCTGCGCTCAGGGTAGAGTCCAAACTTCTCAGCAGAGCTGGTCCCCCTTGCACTGACCCCACCATCTCTGCTGGGACCCTGCGCTATTTGTAACCGGTCTGCCCTAAGCTCCCCAACCCAGGCTGGCCATGTGCTCTGGGAGACCCCACGAGGCTGCCCCTCCCTCGGCCATGACACGCACACATCCCACTGTCTAGCACTTGCCGGTTGCTCTATCTCCCCCGCTCCAATCCCCACCCAAGTGAACAGGCTCTCTGGAGTAGTTATCGGGTCGTAGGCACTGTTTATATGTGCTTTCCATCTCTGTGCTTGCTTTCTGTGCTGCCAACCCAGACCTATCAAGGATGGGACGGCATCTTCTCCCCGAGGGCAGACGCCACACTCTGTCCGCAGGTCCACAGGCCTAGCACTCGGTGGATGTTGCTGAACGCCCATTTTCCTTCTGCCAGATCTGCCCTCCGAATCCCCTTGCCCTCTCCAACGTGGTTACCTGGGATCAAAGTTGGCAATGGTCCGCAGGGGGTGGGGGTTGGCAAGCAATTGCTCCAGATGTGCCTTCAGCTGGTGGAAGGAGGGCCGACGGGCTCGGTCATAGGCCCAGCAGTTCTTCATGAGTTCATAGAGAGGGGCGGGGCAGTCCACGGGAGGGGGCAGCCGGTACCCATCCTCAATGCTCTTCATTACCTGCAGCAGGGGAGCAGGGAGGGGCCCCATGAGAAGCCTCTGTGCACACAAGATCACTGCGATAGAGCCTCTACCCACCCCCTGACCGGTAGGAAAGAGAACAGGGAGTGAGACGACGGGGACAGAGGAGCAAGAGTGCCGAAAGACTGGGTCAGGGAGAAAGAATAGGATGTCTACAGGAAGGGGCCACGGGAAGGTTTGGGGAGATGAGAAGTCAGTCAGGGGTGACATGGGGAGGACTAACCCAGGCTTACCTCCTGATTGCTCATCTCCCCGTACGGTTTGTCCCCAAAACTCAGAACCTCCCACATCACAATCCCAAAGCTCCACACGTCGCTGGCCGTGGTGAAGGTGCGATGGGCAATGGCTTCGGGGGCTGTCCAACGGATGGGGATCTTTCCTCCCTAACAGGGCATGTAGGGCAGAAAGGTGATGTGTTTCAGGGCAAGGAGGGGCGCGAGAAAGCACCTGTGCAAAGGGATGAGTCATTACTGTGTTCACAAAAGCACGCGTCCCATACTCATACGTGTGTGACCGTATGTATGCCACACAGTTGCATGCGAGCGTAGAAGCAGCGAGCGCAGGGCTCTAACCTGGGTTTCGTAAGTGCCATCAAAGTTGTCCAGAAGGCGGGTGAGGCCAAAGTCAGACACCTTGCAGCACAGGTTCTGGCTCACTAAGATGTTCCTGGCGGCCAGGTCCCGGTGGACATAACTGTGGTCGCTGAGGTAGTTCATGCCTGACGCGATGCCCTGCAGCATAGCCACCAGCTGCCCAGGGACCAGCTGGTCTTCCTGCTCCTGCAGCAGGGTGAGCGGGCCAGTTAGGCACCGGGCAGGGTCTCCTCCTCCCAAACCAGGAGCCCAAACCCAGGCATCCGTGGTGCATTCCCCTCCCCAGCTGGCTGTCCACCCTCCTCACCCTCAGGAAGGCATCCAGGGCTCCGTTCTCCATAAACTCCGTGATGATCATGATGGGCTTTCCTGAGACACAAAGCACAAGTTGGCCTGGCAGCCTCTACCCATCTCCTCCCAGAACCAGACTTCCTGCCCTTGGCAGCAGATCTCCCCTACGCTTCCGGTGCTCTCATGCCCTCCCTTCTTCCTCCTTCCCTCCCCACGCTCCTGGAGACCACTGCTCCTACTCTTGGTGACGACGCCTTCCAGGTGCAAAATGTGTGGGTGGCTGAACTGGCCCATGATGGTGGCCTCTCGAAGGAAGTTCCACCACTGGCCATCTGGAGATGTGTCTTTCAAGGTCTTAATGGCCACAGTCTTGCAGTCCTGGCTGGGGATCCTCAGGGTCCCTCGATACACTTCTCCAAACTCTCCTGGGTGGAAAGAAAACAGGCCATGGCCCGATGCCCCTGGGGGGACAGGTAGCAGTATCCTCCAGCACTCTGGTTCTTTTCTTCGCTGGATCAGAAAAGTGGCTTGCTCTTTGTGGGACAGGGGCTTGGGCCGTACTTCCTAGGGAAGGGGCCAGGAATCTGGAGGAGCGGTGCAGCCACACAACCTGTTCGGCACGGTGTCCCAGGTGAGCAGAGTTCTCAGCTAACAGTAGGTGCTCGGTAAATGCCAGGTGAGTGCGTGTCGTGCAGTGGCACCGGGCTGTGTTTATAAAGGGCGGGGTGGGCCGGGGCCAGTGCACCAGTGACTGGGGAGGCTAACCATTGCCTCCTCTCGCACGAGCTCCTCCGGTCACAGCGCAGCTGGCTTGGCCGCACAGTCAGCAAGGACACTGCTGAGCTTTGTTCTCTGCTCAGATCCGTTTCCTCTAGTGACCCAAGGGATCAGGGCAGCCCAAGGACACTGGGCTCCTGGTGGGGTGGAATGCGGGGCGAGGGAGGCTCTGAAGCTCTCCCACGTTTGGGAACCATCTGAGAAGAGCCTGAGCCTGGGGACGACGACCCCTCTGCTGACAAAGATGATGTGTTTAAGGCTGTTCATCAGAAACTCCATAACCACCGAAGCAAACTGTGTAGGAAGCAGGGGCTGCTTGAGGACATCTGATAAAGGGGTTACAGCATGACCACAGCAATTCGAGGAAGATTCAGGGTAGAGCAGAAAGGAAACTCATCTAGGAGCTCTTGGGTCAACTGACAGGCCAGCCGGCTCGCAGCTCTGTGCTGCCACACACAGGGGACCTGCGGGGCTCACCTTCCCCTATGACAGTGTCCACAATCAGCCAGCCTGGATCAAGCTCCTGGGTGAAGTCCAGGGCTCCCTGGGCAGGGTCCTCATATGCTTGCAGGTCCACATACGGCTTAAGCCACAGCTTGTCCTCTGCAGGCAGAACAGGGGGCGGGGGGCTCACCACAGGAACTCGAACTTCAAGGCTCAGGAGTTTTTTTGTTCCCATAAGAGTCCTGTTTTGGCTAAAGTGGGAGAAAGTCTCCGTCCTTAGCAATGAGGTTCTTCCTCTGTCTACGCGCAAAGCTCTGTGTCCTCACCCCCAGAGTCCCAGAGCTGCAGGCCAGAACCTGGGGCTGAAAGCTGTTCACAGCCTCGAGTTACCCAATCTTTCCATGGCTCGCTGACCACACTTCAAATCTCTTGCCCTTCCTCCTCACCCCTGCTAGCCATACTCCTCCAATCACTCACACCTCATTCACATTCCCAGACAAGCCTCGCCCTCACCCTGTTACTCGGAGGGACCACTGCCTCCCCCTTTCGTGGGGGCACCTAATGAGGTGACTGGTAGGAAGCCCACATGCCTCGGAGGACTTCAGGGAGCCTGCCAGCAACCCCCTTCCCACCAAGCCTCGGCCAGCAGACCTGGCCAGCCAGGGTGTCGGAACAGTGGCACCAAGAGCTAACAGGTAATTGCACAGAGCCTCTGGGGGGCTATCAGTACAAAGTTAATTAACCAAAGTTAATTAGGTAGCAAAACAGAAAAGCTCCAGAGACCACGGCCCCGACTCGTGCTCCCAGAGTTGGCTTGGCAAATGTGGGTTCTTTGGTTCTATCCCAGTGGCGCCTCCCAAACCCACACCCCC